TCTTTCCCTGCCCCAGTAACCAGAGAGTATGGTTGACTTTTGCAGTTAATCTGAATCTTTTGTAGCTGTAAATGATTGTAAACATGTTGCAAGTGAATACCGAATAAGTGTTAGAGTAGTAATTGCAGCAGCTGTTGGGAGTTGGCCTCTGCTTCTCGCTTGATCCCTCCTTTGTGCTATGTCTGAGGGAGGAATGAATTTTCAGTTCTCATGACAGTATATTTATCTCATTGGCAGCTGATAACTCCTTTGGAGTCCTGCCTCCAAGTGTTTTCCTTCCAGAATGCAATTGTTTCTCTTCTTGTTGTTAAAATTGAGGAGTTAAAATGTTCATAGCAAAGCTTTAAGACAGCAGGTGATCTCATAGAATTACAGATTTAACACCATGTGGTCTGCAACCTTGCTGAAATATGAGCCCTTATAAAAGTTAGAGAAATGTTACTCTAACATATCGCTTTACCATGACTTGTTTTGAGAATTGTTGCTCTACCTAAATGGAAGTTTGAGAATAGGCAGTATGCTAGTCCTTTTTACTCCTGAGCTCTTTGAGCAAGAGTAAATGATGAAGTAGATGTACATTGCAGTCACAAGTGCCACTGAAATATATTTAGGTGCATCTATTTTAGTTTTAATCTGGCTAACAGTGAAGGTAAGTGTGTTTTTTCAGGCTAGATTGCACAAAACTACTAGGATCTTCAGTATATACTAGATTACCAGCCTGCCTATAGTAATACTGCTGTTTATGCCAGCTGTATTTATGCATGCTGTAGGTTGTGAAACACTCCAATCACAAGAATAATTTTGCCCTGAGCGCATGGAAAGTGCAAAGACTTTTGCAACTCTGTTGCTGCTGTTCCTCTATGTCTGATATTCAGTCTGTGTGAGGGTCAAAGGCTGGCCTTAGAGGTTTAATTTTAAGAGTAGCGTGTATTTGAAAGTTTGGTCTTCAAGATATCTCATAGCCTTTTGTCATATGGTAGCTTTAATCATAGTTTGATATTTCTAGCCTAGTTTCCTAGACGAGCAAATCTTCCATCTTACTTTTTTCTTCGCAGTAGTTCCTGAGCAACCTTTACAGACAGGCAAAAGTCTCCAAGATATTTAGTATCAACAAGTTTTGTGAAAAGTAGCAGCTGGCTGGAGACCAAAGGAGTGCTGTGCTACTGTACACGTGTAACGTGTGCAGCACATGTGTAACTCGGAGACTACAGCATTTCTCTGGGTCCTGTCTAATCCAGAAGCTGGGCAAAATGGGACTACTGCACAAAGTTAAGTGAGGAGAAATGTGAGATCCTAGGATGATGGAAAGGACAGGATGCTAGTGTTACTGCAGTGGCCATGAAGGGATAGGAGATGCAAAGGGAAAGCAAAATGTCGTTATCTGTTCACAAAATTATTCTCTCTGTGCTAACAGTAAATCAAAAGGAGAGATGTTGGGTGTAAGTGTACTTGGTGCATGCTTTTGTTACACTCCATTTCAGTATATAGCTGTCTGTCTGGTCTTGAAATAATTGGAGGCTGCAACACCTACTTGATTTGCATATTTGTGAGAGTTTTTAAACAGCCGTAAAATATGGTGTCAAGTTTTTCTACAAATTTAAAATTTCTGTAGATCAGATGTTCTATTTTCTTCCGAAGTTTCTTACGTGAGCTTCTGTGGTACCGTGCTTTGTTAAATCTTTAATTTTTCTTCCTTTTGCAGAGATTGGAATGGGATTGACAGGCTTTGGAGTGTTCTTTCTCTTCTTTGGAATGATCCTCTTCTTTGACAAAGCTCTTTTGGCTATAGGAAATGTAAGTGCCTGCTGTTCAGCCTTAGATTCTGCATTGTTTAGAATGAAGTATATGATATATTTAAAAAAACAACAAAAATAGAACAATATATTAGCAAATTGAAGTTGTGTCACAGAGGATACTGTAGCACTTTTGTATAAAAGAGGAGTTATGCTCAGTGATTTGAGTGCATCATTTTTCCTGATTAAAGTTAGAGCAGCTCGCATCAATCTAAATATAATACTTCTGGGTCAGGCCTGTGGCATGTTGGTCAGGGAAGTAGCTTGTTCTACAGTTGTTGCACTGTTGCAAATAAGACTTTAAGATTTGCTGTCATTACTGATGCTTTTGTTTTCCTGCTTATGTAAGATAACAGTCAAATTTGAGTACCTATATCTATTTGGGCAAGAATACTAAAGCATTGTACGCTATTAAACTTAGCCATGCTCTTTATGAAGAAAGAAGCATGAATTGCTGATAATCAAGGTTTAGAAGAGCCAATCACCCTTCATAGTAGACAGCTTTAGTATCTTCAGTGATTACCAAATCAAGTTTTCACTTCAAGTAGGATGAGAAGTAAATCTTAGTTCTGGTACGTAAAATTCTCAATGGAAACCAAATGTAAAATTACATTGTGTTTTCTAAATTTGACAACTCTGCACCTCTGCTGTTCTCAGCACCATCAGCCAGCCAAAGAGCATAGCGTGCTAGAGGCTTGCATCCACCTTTGCTGCCACCTAAATATCTGTGGGCAGTAATGAGTTTGATTCTGCTGACATAGAATGACATACTAATATTCGGTGAAGGAAAATCCAAAAATGGATACTTGAATCTGGGTGCATTACATGAAGTGTTGTTCTGATCCATCAATAAAGTGTATAGTGAAATAGTTTTTAAAACAAAAGGAAAAAGTGGAATATGTGATGCAGTTTAGAGAAAAAGATGGAAGCAGAGGGGGGGGGGGGGGGGAAGGGGAGGCAATGAAAGCCTATCTGATAACCAAAGATAATCAAGAAAAGATACAGTATCCTTACAGAAAATAGAACATACAAAACTTAAATTTAAAACATTAATCTTGAGTCAAATCTGAAATCCTTTCTCTTTTCAGCAGAAATATTACCCAGATGTATGTTTACAGGATGGAGTAATTACAAGTCCTGTAGCTGAAAGACGCTTGAAGTATTTTTAACTAGCACGGACCAGTTTGATCGACAGTGTTCAGCCTGTAGTGGATCTAGTAAACAGTAGAAAGATTGTTACACGTAAAAAAGCAAGGATGTTAACATTATTCAACTTCGTTCTTTCTTTTTGCCCAATTATTCTTAAGCATTGTACAGTAGGTCCGTACTTAACCTATTTAAGATGTCCGTGCTACAGAGTAGAAATGCTTACATGGCATGTCTGTTTTCCATTCCTAGGAGCCTTAGCTGTTGTTAGTGCTAAGCTTCAGCATTGTCTGGAGACAATGACTGTACTTATATTACAGAGCAGATAACTCTTGTCACCAGGTCTTCAGACATGACTGTATTTATCAAAGTCCATAAAGGTGGACTGTTGCCTATCTTCTAAGCAGATGTGAGGAGATTTTTGAATGTTAGCTACCAACGCTTTAAAATGGACTTTATGAAAGAAAATCACTACTGAATTCCTCCTTGCCATCAATCTTGATATTAAAAGAAGTTGTGCAAGAAATGCAATCTAATTTTGAAGAATGACTATATATATGTTTACATCCTAAATTTAGGAATATAATTAGTTATTTTCTTTATTTGGTTGGTTTTTGTCTCTTCTAGGTTTTATTTGTGGCTGGCTTGGCTTTTGTTATCGGTTTAGAAAGAACGTTTAGATTCTTCTTCCAAAAACACAAAATGAAAGCAACGGGCTTTTTCCTGGGTGGTGTGCTTATAGTTCTCATTGGTTGGCCTTTGATAGGAATGATCCTTGAAATTTATGGGTTCTTCCTATTATTCAGGTAAGGCTTATTTCAAAATAGGTTTTTATATTGGTGTATTTAGGGATAAATGTATTTGTCTAGTCTTGCAGCATTACAGCTGGTGAAATAACAGCCTTTGAATGTTCATTTTTAATAGCTTTTTTATGAAGCTAAATTTGCTCCAAGACTCAAATCTGCTAAAGTGTATAAGGCAGGTATAAAACTTATTTTGTTAATGTTGTGTACATCTAACCAAAGAACTGTAAAGCTTCAAAATATTTTGGAGCCTAAACAGTTAGCAATGTAAATTACATTGCAAATGTAAATATTACCTCAAAAAAAAGGCAACATAAATATTTAGTATGCTTTGTTCATGAAGGACTTGTTTGTTTTTGTTTTTTGTTTTTTAACAAATGGGGCGAAATAATTATTTGCAAACTTCCTACATTTGAAAAGATGAACTAAAACAGATTTCTAGAATGTTTCATACTTTTGTGCCCTAATATAGTTGCAGTGTATGAGATACTGTTTTGGTTATAGTTAACTAGAGCAAGTTAAGTAAATATAAATATTCTTATTTGTGAACAGCAATCTTGATGCATGTTATATCTGTTACAAGAAGTCACTTAACTTGTGCTTCTACGACTAATGGTGAAAGAATTTGATGTTTGACAACCTATATATTGATATGTTTGAAGTTCCATACTTTTGAAAAGAAAGCAGAAAATGTGCTAATATGTAAGAGGATTTTTTAGTGATTTTTTTTTTTGAGCTACTAATCAGGTGAAGACTGTCCCATTGAAATGCTCATTAATCTAATACAAGACTCACTAAAATTGTTCAGTGTTCAGCTGCTGAAAAAAAAATAGTTCCTCTTAATCCAAATATTGCTTTTATCATGCTACTTTTTTTCTCTCTCTCTCAATAACCTGAAACATTAACTTAAACACTCTAAGATTTTTTTGTTCAAAAGTATTTAGCTTAACTTGGCTTCTGCTGAAGACATAGTGAGATTTCTTAAAATTCATCTTGCAATTTTGATTTAGACTTCTTATTTTTCTAAGTTGCATTATTTTGAAATAGATATCACTGCAAGTGATTTGAAAATCAAGCTATTTCACTGAATGTATTGTCACTTCTTGGAGGTGTCATTTGGATTTGATTAGCCAGCATGAAGCTGGTAGCGTATCTTTCCAAAAATATACTCATTCTTTGGAAAGGTTTCTAAAGAATTACAGATCATTATGCCTGAACAGGTATGGTTGTTCCTGGAGTCTCTGCACTAGCCGGAGACTAGCAATATAAAATAACATTCAAGGGAAGATCACTAGTCATCCCTAGGTCACTAAGAATAAGCTTTTCCCTCAAGAATGTCAACAATGGATAAATAATTGCAGATGAATGTTTATCTGACTTGTTTTATTTTAAAACATTTCTAGATAATCTTTTCTAGAGCTTAACAGTTCTTGGAATCTAAATCTCTTGCTACAATGTTAGCCAGTTACTAACTCAAAGCTTTGTGTTTTACTTTGGCTTTGTTTTTTTATTCTGACTATTATCATGTTTTTGACAAATTATTCCTTTCTGGAGAAGGAAAGAAAAATTGAACTCTGTTTTCCCTTATACATCTTTTTAAATGATTTCTCAGAATCCCACTATTTGGTTACATGCCAGAAAACTTTGCCGGTTATCGTTAGTCTTTCAAATACATTCTTCTTTTAGGCCCACTTAATTAAAACATACGCACCTTTGGATTTATTAGGGTGCTGTGTTATGGAGATAAGCACTTGTGTGTCCTAATCGTTCTAGTCGCATGGATTACCAGGACTTTCATGTGCAAAGCCTTTACATTTAGCAGTTCTAGTGACTTTTATGTGCAAAGCCTTTACATTTAGCAGTTCTAGTAACTTTACCTCAGCTCAGACTAACATAGTACAAAAGAAAAAACAATGTGCTATACTGTTTTCAACCCCTTGATTTGTAGACCACTAAAACATATCCATTAGGCATTCAGGACCCTCTAGAGTCTTTACTTCTGGATTGTTATCCTGTATACCTAGACTGCTTTTACATAGTCCCCTTTCACAGATCCTTTATACATAATTGCAGAGCCTGTGTTGTTCGCAAAGCAAAGGTTAGGAAATAGTGACTAAGAACTCTTAAATGCATGATTGCAAAGGTTTTTTTAAAGATGCATCTAACCTAAGGTCAAAGAGATCCACAATTATTATTTTACACTGGTTTAAATCTAAACTGCCTTTTATGCTCTTGTCTTCATTTTTAACTTGCTGCCAGAGTATTTCTCATTAGAGATTTAGTCCTTTGCCATACTTTGACATGCTCAGATTGCATTTACTGGAGAAGACAGTTATGGGACAGTTTTTCTTTTTATACTCTAAACTGCTTTTGGAGCCTTGCTCAGATTACAGGAATCTAAAGTTATGGCTAAAAATATTGTCCCACCTGTAATGACTGTTCTTAATTCTTAACCCCACCAATTGTTTTAGTCTATTACCAGTGGTTGGTGTACCTTGCATCGCAATTTACTGGATCATTGAAATGATCCACTCTGTAAATAAGAAAATCTCCAGGAAAAATCTTGCTAGTTTTGATATGATGTAGCAAATAGTCATTATCTGTCAGTGCAGCTGAGAAAATGGTGAATTGTGAAATTTCAGTTGTGTTGCATGTTAGTCTTTATTCAACACGGGAAATTTGTAGCTCAGCAAGAGGTAACCCAGAACGCCAACATCAGCTGAACCG